TGACCTGGAGCGAGGAGCTGCGGACGTTGCCCTCGCCCTACTTGAGCAGGAACGCGCGCACTCGCTGAAGGGAAGAGGAAGAAGACGACGAACCGTCGCTGTGATTGCACAGTATCCACTGCAGGCTGGCATCTCCTCGCGGGAGAAGCTCGAGGCAAAAGCGCGCCAACTCCACGAGGCCGGCATTCCGCTGCTGATCATGGACCTGTGCAACCACCACGAGCGATCGAGGGCGCTCAACACAGTCAAGTGAGTGTGTGTGTGCGCGCGCGCGCGTGTGTGTGTCTGTGTTGGGGCTGCAGCAACACACACATGGTCCGCTCACAACACGCTGAACGTTTGCGATGCTTACCACTTGTGTATGAAGGAGCGGTACGTGGGTCGGCATTGGGCTCACGGCGCGGGAGTGCGAGTGCATGGCTCAACACGCAGACGTACGCCAGCAGAATATGACGTACACGTGCGTGTATGAAGTCCACGACAACAGCGACTTGGTAATCGCAAACGACTGCACGTTTCTTTGCGTGTATGTGCGTCTGTATGCGTGTGTATGCGTGTGTGTTTGTTTGGGGGTTGTGCGTGCGTTTGTATGTGGGTTCGTGTTTGCTTTCGTATGTGAGCGTTTGTATAAGTGTGTTTGTATCAGTGTGCGTGTGTTGTATGCCTGCTCTTCATCCAACATCATGGATATTGTTCACCAGCAACCCCCCGTTGTCACTGGCGTCCCAATGCAGACCTTGCTGTCCTCAGAGATGCACCACGTGCTGCTTGTCGATCGAGCCACCGTTACCCAGCGTCTCTCCCTCATCGTGCACGGCGGGTACGGCGCACACCACCAGCAACGACGAACACTCCTTTGAGTCGTGCACCGCCTCTCACATATGCTATCCCGCTCAAACACACACACACACACGCACACACACACACACACACTCAACAAACACTCACGACAGCGCAACCGCCCCAACACATCCCCAACACACCACCCTCAACGTGCACGTGAACTCGCTTGGGCAGGGCCTCTGGTGTGCATGTGGTGGCACCGCACGATGTCGCAACAGCTCTTGTTTATGGAAGGGAGCTTGCCAGGGCGGGATGCGTGCTGGACAGGGCTGCACTCCAACAGGTGACGTGTTTCACGCAGTGCACGTCTGTGGCAGGATGCTCAACCATATGGCATAGACACTGTGTTGTTATTAGACACTGCATTGTTATTGCTGCTCTCAGCTCACTCTGCTCTCAGTGGCTGTGCGCAGGTTGTGACGGGTGGTGTCGGTGACGACGCGCCAAGCTGGTGCGCGCAACCACACACATGGACAAAGGTAACACCTGCACAACAAGAACCATGTCATGTCTGCTTACATCAGCGTGCTTGGTCTGCATTCGCTGCATTCGCTGCATTCGCTACGCTGCTTTCACGTTGCTGCTGTGCTTTCGTCCTGTGCCACGACCTCACACCGCTCGTGCCCTCCATTGCGTGCCGTGTGATCGTTCAGTTGCTGTCTCTGCTTCGTCAAGAGGAACATGACGGTGGTGATGCAGGCACGCAGTATCCGCCGAAAACCACAACGCACACCGACACAACACCCTGGGTGTGTTGATGTCCCACAGATTATATGGCTGCTGCTGCTGCTGCTGCTGCTGCTGCTGCTGTGTTGTTTACGTCACCCTTGTTCAGTGTCACCCCTCCACGTTACTGCCATCATTGTAGCATCGTTTTCACCACCAGTCAGCGTTCACGCCACCACCACCACCACCACCACCACCACCACCACCACCACCACAGGCCACAGCATGGGCAGCGCACGTTGCACGATATCACAGCATTGCCGACGCGTGGGCGCAAGAGCAGGAGGTCACATTCCACGCAGCACACGCTGCGATACAGACAGACATGCAACGTGAGCCATGTGAAACAGCCACATCGTGTGCGTGTGTGTACAGTGTGCGTGCGCGTAGATTGTACTTCTCGTTGTCGTTGTGGTGTCACTACCTGCGCATGCTGCTTGCGTTTCATTGTCACCCTAGAGTCAACGCCATGCTGCTCGCTGCATGGTGTCAGGGATGATGACTGCATGGGAGCTTCCCCCGTTCAGGTCACCGCCCACAAAGGCCTTCATGTTCTTCTCTGGCGTCGATTCACCGGGCCACGAAGTGATGATGTGAGCACGGGATTGCGTTTGCACCATACCCACACTGCAGCAACCGCAGTTCTGTGATGCGCAGTTGGGTGTTATGACAATGGATGCAACACCAACACGGGACGCTGTCTTGAGGCAATGCTCATCGCTTGGTGCCCTGCGCTCATGTATCTGTGCTGTGTGTACGTGTGTGTATGTGTGTGGTTGTGCGCGCAATTGCTTGCGTACTTGTGATGTGTGTGTGTGTGTTCACTTACAGCTACGCTTCTGGCACATTGGACGAGTGGGAGCAGCTTTGTAATGAGGTCAGTCGACCACCGTGGTGCTGGGGATGATGAGCACCTTGCCAGTGACTTAAGGTGTTGCTGCGTGCAATAACTCCACAGACCAGCACAGTCTACATGGCCACAAACATGACCACACAAGTTCCACCACCACCAGCACCACCACCACCACTAGCACCACGCGACATTCAGCAACCCCATTATCACACCTGCTGTTGCCGTTGCAGTTGTCAGAGTGCGTTGCCTTCAACACCAGGGGAGAGCTGAAGAAGCGCGTGCGTCCGCGAGATGACTGGAAGCGGTTTGAAGCCGCAGAGAGCATCAAAGACGGCCTCTACGTTGCCGGTGCGTGATGTGTGTGTGTGCGTGTGTGTGTGTGTGTGCGTGCGCGTGGTAAACTTAGCGTGTCCTGTGTTTACGTGTGCGTGTCTTCATGTACATACGTATATGTACGTGTGTGCATGTGTGTACATGTGTGTAGCGTGCTTCAGTATGTGTGTATCTGCTTTGTCTCACCCTGACTGTGTGTCCATTTTGGTCAATTGCATGCAGCCAACATCGACGTGTGCGACTTGGATCTTCACCACTGCCACAAGGATGCGGTGTGCAACCCACAAGACCTTGCGTCGTACACGTGTACATGCAACAAAGGGTGAGGCAATAGCAGTTGTAACAACCACTGACACCCGCGCATGCACGTGTGCTATGCTGTCAAGCGTTGAGGCTTGCACGCCCGTGTACAATTGCACCACACATGTACGTCTTCAGTGTCATGTCAGCACATGCGCCAGCTTACGTGTCAACCGACTCGTTTCTGCAGATTTGTAGGCGATGGGTATCAGTGCACGCGTGTGTTGCATGAGAGCAGCAGCTTGAACGGCATGTTGCACGCACTCGACAGACTCGACAGGCCCAAGTTCCCAGAAGTGGATGCACCGTTTGTGTTCTTCCCCCATATGGATTCCAACTTGCACGACCTTTTGCTGGTGGAGCGCACCATTCAGGAGGTGTGCCAGTCTCCCTTCTGCTGGGGTCTTGCGTTGGAGTGAATGTTTGTGGATGTGAGTGTGTCTGTGTGTGTCTGTGTTGTGTGTGTGTGTCTGTGCTGTGTGTGTCTTTGTTTTGAGTGTGTGTCTGCATATGTGTGTGGTAACTTGCTTTGTGTGCGTGTGGTGTCTTGCGTTGTGTGCGTGGCGTTGTTGTGTGTCATCAGGGACTTCATTCAACCTGCATGCGTGCACCACATCACCCTTTCCCTTTTGCGAACCAGGATGGCGATGCACACGTTCGGCGATTGATGGACACATGCCGCTCACTTCCGCGTTGTCTCGGATTCAACACAAATGGTCTGATTGTGGTCTTGTTGGCGTGAGAACGTGCAAGGGTGTTTGCAAATGGAACGTGTGTGCGGGAATGCACATAAACGTGTGTGCGCATGATCACACGCATGCACACGTCAACACACAAACACACACGAACACACACGTCAACACACGCATGCACATCTCAACACACGCATGCACACGTCAACACACGCAAACGCACGCGAACACACACACACACACATACACACACATACAGGGATGCTGAAGGAGCGGATAGCACGACCAGACGAGTGGTACGCATTCACGGAGGACGACAATGCAGGGCTGTATGTGCTCGACATTGACTACTGCACACTGTCGGACGAGGTGCGACATGTACGCACTTGCGAAGCGAATCTGTTGATTGTCCATACACTCGAAGGAAGAGACACACTCTGTACTCCCCCTCCGCACACACACACACACACACACACACACACGCACACGCACACGCACGCACGCACACACGCACGCACGCACGCACACACACACACACGCACACATATTACACACTCACTCAACACACTCTCAACACATGCAACTCCACACACAACGCGTGCTTGTCCGTTACAGGGGTGTGTCGTTGGGGCAAGCTGTCAGAAGAAGGGCCCAGGCCTCTATCAGTGCGAATGCGATGATGACAGCCTTGAACTCACGGAAGTCAGCGCGGGCGAGGACACAGCAATGGATGCACGCGAACCACGGACTGTGCAGGTACAGCCCGTCGTAGTAGGAGGGGAGCACCTGTGCTTGTGTCTGCATTGGCGGTTGTTGCGGTGATGACGGTGGCGGCGATGTATCTGAGCAGGTTTGATGACGTGATTGGCACGTACGCTGAACACACACATACACATGCATGTCCACTTGCCTTGTCACCAGAAGTGTGTTGAAAAGAACGGAGTGGTAATGGCGCAATCAAGCTTAGTGCACGCACCTGCGGCAGTTCAACCACCACAACAACAACAACAACAACAACAACAACAACAACAACAACAACAACAACAACAACAACAACAACAACCACAACAACAACAACAACAACAACAACTAACAACAACAACAACAACAACAACTTAAACAACAACAACAACAACTTAAACAACAGCACCAGCAACAACAACAACAACAACAACAACAACAACAACAACAACAACAACAACAACAACAACAACAACAACAACAACAACAGCAGCAGCAGCAACAGCAGCAGGTATTGAGCAAGCCGCGTGCCATCACCATTGTGCTGACCGCAGATTCAGAGCATTATGCAGGCATTGTGGCTGTCATCAAGTGAGTCGTGCACACAACCTGTGTGACGCTGCTGAAAAACGTGCATGCATGCGCCTTTCACAATGGAGCCTGTGCCTTGATGGGTCATTCAAACCCATCATCACGCACGCGCACATACACAGTCCCTCTCACCCACATACATGCACACACATACACATACACACGCGGCTCTCTCAACCACATACATACACACACGCACCCTTGCGTCAGTTCTGCACGGCGGCACTCGGCTGTTCCTGGCCGTCTCATCTTCCACGTGCTGGCAGTTGCCGATGCATACGCGCTTGCAGTCTATCTGAGGTGCCGCGGCCTGCAGGCAGAGGTGGTGCCACCCATCACCACACACGACGATGAACGCCAACTCAGCACAAGAGCCGTTCGCGTTCACAACTTGAGTGAGCTCACAACTTTCCAACAACAACCACCACCACCACAGCAGCAGCCACCACCACAGCAGCAGCAACCACCACCACCACAGCAGCAACAACAACAACCACCACCACCACCACAGCAGCAACCACCACCACCACCACAGCAACAACAACAACAGCAGCAACAGCAACAGCAGGTGGAAGATGTGGCCTTGCTGTGGAATTCCATTCGTGCACTTGCACTCGTGCGCACATCCCGTGGCATTGCAGGCAACCTGGCCTCTGACGCCAACTTTGCCCGCTTTCTCATCCCGCCCTTGTTCGCAAGCGAGACGGCTGTGTTGTATTTGGACGCTGACACGCTCGTGCAAGGGGACCTCGCGAACCTGTGGGCCATCGTGCAAGCAGCATCAACGGTGCCCACCGCAGCTGCTGATGGTGGTGGTGGTGGTGGTGGTGGTGGTGGTGGTGGTGCTGCTGCTGCTGCTGCTGCTGCCGCCGCTACTGATCACGCAGCTGCTGATGTTGATGCTGGTGCTGGTGTATCCAACATCGACTCTAGAACAGCGCACCAGGCTGCCCCCGTTGTTGCTGCTGTACCACGCGCTTTCCCAACGTACGCGTCGTTTTTCAACGCACACGTGCGTGACTTGTACAAGCAGCACTACGGCGACGGCGCGGCGATGATGGTTGACGAGCCAACCTTCAACGCTGGCGTGATGGTGTTCTGGCCCCACCGCTGGCAACAGCAGCGTGTGGATGAGGACGTGCTGTGGTGGATGCAGCAGCACCGTGAGCACGTGAACGACGCAGACAACGGGTTGTGGGACTTTGGAACACAGCCGCTGCTGCTGCTCGCTGTGCACAATCGTTGGATGCACCTGCCAGCCGAGTGGAACGTCAATGGCCTGGGATACAGGACAGACATCAAGCAAGATGTGATTGATGGTGCAAGCGTCCTCCACTGGAGCGGGAGACAGAAGCCTTGGCTTGAGGACGTTGGGTTGTATCGCAGCATTTGGCTGCCTTTCTCACGCGTGCCCTGCAGCGGCCATGGTACATGCTCCCTTGATGACAACGGGTGTCGGTGTGAGCACAACTGGGTTGGAGAACACTGCCAAACGTCAGCGAGGGGCAGCCACTGACGGTGTTGGCGACCATGTCGTCGCAACGCCCGTTACACTTGACAATACAATGCAATACAGAGCGTATTTCGTGCAGCGTGTACGCAGGAGTGGGCAGGGTGTCGTTTTCATGACGTGTCTGCTTGGGAATCATGGATATATGTGCTGTATTGGCGAAGCTCTGAAACTGGAACCACTCCACAGCGTTCTGTATGTGCCGTAGTGCTGCGGCATGGGGGTCTGGAAATCATTGTTTCGTGTTGCAAATTATGGCACTTAGTTGCAATTGGAATGTGACGCTGTGCGCAGGTTGAGGCCCGTCTGAATCAGGAGCAAACATTCATGGACGTTCTCCGTTGCTCCCCACTGCGTTTTGTGTGGTGGTGCTGTCTCTCCTTTTCTTAGCCGAGTTGCCTGATTGCGTGCGTCCACCTGATTGCTTGCATTGCGCGTGACTGTTCATTTCTCACGGACAAGTGAAGCGTTGAAACTACTCAAAGAAAGCGCAGCGGCACTGTGGTGTGGGAGTTGGTGTGTGGGCGAACAAGAAAGAGGGGGGGGGGGCTGGTTATGTACATACCACCGCAGGTACAAAATAGGAAACAAAGGCCACGCAACGAACCGACGCAAGCGCACAGCCGTGGCAGCAACAAGTGTCTCACTTCATAACACACATACACACACACGCATAAGCACACAAGCATACTGTCATACTCTCGTTCTAGGTCGAGACAGTGAGGTAGCGACAGGCAAGCATCATCCAAACCACAATCACGTTCTCAGGATATGTGTACACACGACACCTCACAGCATGCCACACTTGGTCCCCTGCACGTGTGTGCGTGTGTGCGTGTGTGCGTGTGTGAGTGAGTGTGTGTGTGTGTGTGAATTCAGATGCACGTGTATGCATGAGATGACTTCCCGCAAACCGAGATTACACACACACACACACACACACACATACACCACCACCACCACCACCACCACCACCACCACCACCACACTGACCGTGGGCATCGAGGATGTCTTGTCCGACAAAGGACGACATGCATTCACGCAGCGCTTCGCCGGCGTTTAGTGTTCGCATTTCAAATGGAAATCCCTTGAAGCTGTGGCCAGTTGGGATCATGTGCTTGATTGCCGCCTTAAACTCCTGATGTGCACGTGTGGGCAAAAAAGGTGGTGGTGAGAAGACGCGAGCAAGTACCGGATACAAAAGGGGGCAGGCTGTTGAAAGCGGACTCTGTTTGTGTGCGTGTGTGTTCATGGAGAGGGACACGGTCACACACAACTACATACAACTACAGACAGACAGACAGACACACAACTACAGACACACAGACACAGACACAGACACACACACACACACACAC